CTAACTGCAGACCTCCAGCGTGAAGCCGCTTCCGGTGCAGGCTCCAGTCTCAAGCCTACCTCCAGTGTGAGGCCCGGAAATAACAAACTTTTTTTTTGTGAAACACGTGTACGACCTACAGTTGTGACGGTAAGTCCAAAAAATGACGATGCACAAGTTATGTTTGCAGTTGAACTAGCCGCCCTCTGCACCCAAACTACCGAATACATTACATACCAGTATGTTGGTGAGCTGTGTTAAGTAAGGGATAATGTTGAGTGAGGAGGTTGTTGTGGAGAAATAAACCCTGACAGGATGAATGGAAACCCGACGCAAAGGGGTTTATTTCTTACGAGTGAAATAATTTATTTGAGACATAGCCTAACGTTGATCAAAATACGACTTTTATCGATGTATAGGCTAAATTGCATCATTTAGCGTATCTGCAAGTCCGGTCACTTCTCCGCTGTTTTGCTGACCCTCCTCCTGGTCGTGTGCATTACATCTAACGAAGCCGTTGATAAATCAAACAGTGGGTCGATTGGTTATCATATAGGTGTTACAATGTTTGTATTTGTGTAGTGTTATCTGTCATAAACGAGGGATTACGTTTTACGAGGCGCGTTTGTGCCGCGGTGTTACTGAGACGACACTTATTACTCTCTCCAAAGTTACGTCACATAGTTACAGTATCTAACATCATAATTAGTCCGAAGCTGTTTAATAATTCACGTCACATGGTCTACACTTTTACCAACTGAAATAAAAATATACATTGAACTTAACATTACTTTTTTTGTGTTATGTAGATGCACCACTCTATTTTTTCCCCAAGTGAGGGGTATGAAGTGGAACGCTGCACAGTTTGTTGTAAGCTGTTTCACTGCCCCCTTTGCCCCAAATACAAGCCCAGCCAAAAAGGAAGGATTCAGAAGTACCTGGATGTCCATGTAAAAAATGCCATTACATTCAAAGGTATGTGTATGTGTCTGTGTCTTCATGTGCTCTTGTGTCTTGTTAGTTATTGGCTAATTTAACCTTTTTGTTGACTTCCTCCCAGATAAAAAGATCTGCAAATGCAGTTTAAACTGCAGGAATGCTGGACATTTTCATTGCCCCATTTGTCACAAAACCATCATCAGAAGATCAGACTTGGAGAAACACCTGCAGACTTGCCAAGTTTCCACAAAACAAATGCCCAGCTCAGCTCCTGCCCCCATACAATCAGAGTCGGACACATCTGCTGCACCCGCTCCCTTCCTTTATCCACCATCCGCCCTTCCACATGTCTCACCCATTTCTGAATCCACTGTTCCTCCTCCCAAACAAGATGTTCCCTCTGCACAACCTGCCACCTCCTCCTCTGCCCAGCACACTAAAAGATGTCATAGGAAGGCAAAATGTCCCCATTGCAACCTAATCTGCCTTAAAAAGAACTTAAACAAACACATTCAGAGGAAACACATAAAGAAAAGCAGTGACAGTGTCTTGAAGAGTGTCTGTGTGGACGCAACAAATGGCATATCTGCTGTCCAAAAAACAACACGTGGATTTTCTGTGCCTATTCATGTGCAAAAGAAAACCTGGGGACACCTGCATAAGGTGCAGTGTGAACTTGAAGACTGCAGGCAGTATCACCAAATGGCACTAAGGAGTGGTTTAACTTTTAGCCAGTGTGAGCACATCCGCTCACTGGAACATTGCAGGGAAATAGCTACAGAGGAATGGCTGAAAGAAGAGACACTGGAGGAAATGGTGAAGTTCAAATTCTTTGGTGAGGCAAAAAAGACAACCTGCACAAAAAGGCAAAAACATGCACAGAAGGCTCATGTCCCTCTCTGTGTAGAAGTTGCATTTCAAAAGAATCCCACAAAATTCTGTTTTTCCATACACGAGCCAGCTTTACACCATTACAGTCGGCTTGGGAGGGTGATGGAGACATACAACTCCACAGCTCACACCTGGCATTGTCCTTGTGCCAAACCGAGAATATCTTGTGTCCACAAAAACATTGGCAAGTGGCATCTATTTCAAAAAAACCCAGACATATTCAGAACTGAGACTGCAGCAAGTACACCTCTGCTGCAACAACATAGTGTCTATCCACCATCTGCAGAAATCTTGGAGCAACTTGTTCAGTACATCTACAAACATAAACAGCTTCCAGACACCTTACCAGATGACCTTATTAAACCCAAACCACCTGCAAGTTACATCACAGAGTTGCATCCATCAGAGACTACTTGCACCATCTGTCCAGGGTCAGTGGATCTTGAAAAATCAACTCTAATCTCCAGAAATGCACGGATAATCACCATCAATGGAGTAATTGAACGTACGTTTTTAAAATCTCTGCTCATATTATGAAAAATTTCTATTTCTGATTGTAACATTGTTAATTACTCAAAATCTTGTAACATCACAAGTTTTCACAAAATATAAAAGTGGGTGGAAATGTGTTTCCTGGGGTTTTTTTTTTTTTTTTTTAAACAGATGTATCAACCTATTTCCGGCGATGCCCACAGTGCCACATGATTTACCGTTACCAGGAATGGATGGACAGTCTTCACAATTTTGATGACCATGTCATATTGAACCTGGAACTGTGTTTATATCTGAGGCTGAATTTACAGGTTAGTAAAATGGAACTTTCATGATAATGTTTCTTGGAACATGTTTATTCCTCTGAAATAACCATGACTGTAATTTTTAAAAATTTGTTTTTCTCTTGAAGAACAATGTTTCAGTGTCCAAAGTAAATGAGTCACTGGAAGGCCTGAGGAAAGTAAAATTTCCATCCAAAAATACTATCCTCCATGCATACCTCCACTTTGAGGCATTGACAAACCAAGACTATTCCTATTCCTGTGTTTGCTGTGGCTACCATCCTCCAGTGGTTGTGATGGACCTGCATAAGAAAGGAGTGTTTAACTTACCTGGTAAGTCACAAAGTCGTGCGTGTGTGCGTGCGTTTGTATGTGTATTACAGAGACAGTAAATTACAGCTATTTCTTTCAGTGAGTGACATAGAAGAGGTCTCAGAGAACTTCGCTGGGGAGGTCAACATTGAGGAGTTCTGGGATTCTGTCCAGCTGGAGATGATTTCTCGTGCCTTTTTCCCAAGTATTTACATACATAAATTCTCTCTTAGTTATTACCTTTATGTAATGGATCATTGAACTGTAACATACTATTAATTACATGTTTGGTGCCTTTTCCTAGGCCATGCAAAGAACAGCTTTGCTGTGCATACTAGTTTTGAGCACTGGGCCCCATGGATTGGGAAGAATACAAACAAATCTGACACTGTGTTAAACACAGAATTTGAAAAAGTTTCCTCTTCAAAGTCCACATCTGAAGCTGAGCTGAGCATGGTTTCAGAGGACCGTCTCATGGATGAGCTCATGAAGCAGAAGGTACATATACTGTTATTAAATTTGGGTTGCAGCGTGTAATAATATTTGACTTGATTTCACATTTTCTTTATTTCAAAAGGTTTCAACAGTGCGCAAGCTGTGTAAGGCCTGCAATTTGGACTCAAAGGGATCAAGGAACGACCTTATCAACAGACTAAGAGACGAGATGAAAACCAGACATACATACGACAAAATATTACAGAAAATCTGGGGAGCTTCAGGTATGGGTCACACATTGTTCTTAAAAACAGTCTGAGATGTGTTATTAACATTAACTAAATAGACTTTCAACTTTCTTTTATAGGGGGCTGGAGTGTGATTCTCTGCCCTCATGGTGTTGTATACAGTGTAAAGTTTAACCTGAGAGCAGAATCGCCAAGAGATTTTGCTGATCTTCTTCTGTCCTGGAAGCACCTGCCAAATGTTTCTGTTTAAGATTTTGCTCGTGGTTTGGCAACTCACGTCAACCTCCGTGTCCCAACCACACTACCTATCAAGCCACATGAAGGGAGACTGGCTGAAACAACCAAAGACAATGTCACAGCAGCTCAGCAGGGAAAACTCAGAATTCCTCTTCCATGGTTGACTGAAAAGCTACAAAAACCAGATGAAGATGGGCATCCTTGCACTGGGTCTTCAGACCATTATTCCTTTACGACAAATTTCATGAGGCCAACACCAAAGATCCAAAGGAGGTTTTAAGGAGGATCAAACTGGTCCCAGAACTTCAGGGTTCCATGAATAGCCAGGTGGCTGAGCAGCTGTTTTCAACTCTGCAGAAAAACAATTACTTCCTCAAAAACATGGCACCATCAACACACATTTTTACAATGAGAAACCTGGTGCATCATCAAAACAACAAAACAAATGAAAAGATTCTGAAAAAGCTGCTCAAGAGAGGAGGTGATTCACAGTCTCTGCATGACATCGCTCTAAATGAAGTTGGACAAGCAGTATTAGGTAATTATGAAATTAGGGATTTTTATGTTTATACCTGAAATGTGAAATATAATGCTTGTACTGAACACTGTGTTTTTTCTAAAGCCTTGGGAATCCTACCATCAGAAAACTCTGCACAGCATCAACATCTGCCCTCACCAGTTGGAGCCCCTTTGCAGCAACAAGGGCTTCACGCTGACACACACAAAGGTGGGTAGCAGGTTTTCAAATCAGCATGAATTTATTTTGCCTTTTTTTTAAAACTTGTATTTTCCTTGATAAATGGTGACACATGTGGACCACACTGTGAAAACATCACAAAATGTGAGAACATACAACCATGCCGGGAGTCATGGACATTACACACACATTCCTGCCAACAGCAACTGGTATGTATTTAAAAAGCAGAAGAAAATTATATTACATTTTAGAGAAAGGTTTGTGATTCTTATTTTGAAACCCTGCCACCTGTGAAATTGCTGGGCTAGATGTTATGCTGGTTATGAAATTTATAATAAAGGTGCAATCTTTTTTTTATTTTTATTTTACAATAATTAGCTTGAATATGTCCTGGATACTGAAAGGCCAGTGACACAACTAATTGTGAAGACAAAAAAGAGTTGCCTAACGCATGGTGACTTCTGGACTCTCGGCTTGGATCGGGAGATGGAATCAACCGTGAGTTAATAATAAATGGATCTTATATGTGAAACAATTATGTATGTCATTAACGCTGCCAAGTTATTTTTTTGTTTGTTTGTTTTTTTGCAGATAGGAAAAGCGTGTTTTGAGCTTATAGAAAGAATTGCTCAATCAAAGGTATAAAGTCTAATCTCAGAATATGTTTGTATCCATTTTAAATACTGTTTTACATGCCTAGGTTTACATTTGCAATATATTCTGCAGGGGAAGTGCATTACAGTGGCTGATTTGTATGTTGTACCAACATGGCGACAGCCAATGGCAGCTGACCCACTCTCAAGTTTACCTGTAAGTATACCTATTGGATTCAATTAAGAATATATTTTTATGTTGGTTTTTTTTTTATCTTTTAAATGTTTCTTTGTTATAAGGGAGACATTCACATAAGGGACTCCATTGTTATCCCTGTGTGGAGATTTGGACATTTCTTGTTATCTATAAGTACAGTTGCATTTTTTCTTTATCGCTGTCTGACTATCACTTTTACAACTGACCCACACACTCACTTTCCTCTGGTGGAGGCAGCAATGAATGCAGCCATTGTACCTCCTGAATCATTGCTGCCCAAATCATTTCTTGTCCTCACATCTTTTTTACATTCACTAAGCACATACTAAAAAAAACAAAAACATCTAAAAACAAAGGTGTGTTTCATTAGTGCTGTGCTGTTGTGTTTCTGTTGTCTGTGTTGGATTAACCTCTCCCCCTACAATGAAATGGCATCTCATTAACCACAATAGGTTTTGAAGCCAGCACAGAGAGAGATTCTCTTTCTGGATTCCAAATGTGCACATGCACAATTTGGATTTGGTGATCAGGAAATGAGAGCACTGCTGAGGTCACTAACAAAAACGTATATTTTTGTTCTGAATGGTGTTCATGTTCCTATGCTGTTCGGAAAAGGTTTGTTTTGGGGCTGAGCAGTATGGACAAGTGGTCAAAACTAGGGATGCAACGATAAAGATTTCCCACAGTTCGGTATGCATCACAGTTTTTGGGCCACGGTAAGGGTACGGTTTTGCTGTCTTAATATAAAACTACTCACACTAGCAAAGGCAATATTGCATGTAAAAATAATTAAAAGCACAGATACAGTCAAACCACAAACCTTAAAAACCCTAAAAATTTAACACTTATCTTAATTGCCTTCCATAAAAAAACATATGCAGTATCCAATCAAGTTAAACTGCAAACATTATTGTAGTATTGTATCATACTGTATTGATTTGTATAATTTGCCTTTGTGTATTGAACCTAACAGGGCGTATTGAATGGTTGGATAAAATATTAAATATTGTTGCATCCCTAGTCAGAACCCACCATTACAGCATTCAAAACCCCACAAGATATGAATATTGATATATTGCCCAGCTCTACATTGTTTTCTCATTGGATCATGTTCTGATCTGTGAAATAGTCTTTTTATGGTATCACCTAAATATAATTGCAATTTTGCACATCAGGTACTTCTTTGAAATCATACAGTCTTATATAATAACATTACATTAATAATATATCTCATAAAATAGTACCATAAAAAGCCTCCTGCATGTGTGTGACTGCATGTAAAGGTTTGTTCATGACCTAAATTACTTGCATGCTGTGTGCTTTACATGTAAGATAACCATGATCTTGACAACTATGTTATGTTAATGTCTTTTCACTTTTAGAAACCTTTCCCAGTCAATATTTCCTGGACTGTGGCACGAGACCACTGGTTTGGAAATCCAGGTAACAGTATATACCACATGTAATCTACATTTAACAGCATTTAAAATCATTGACTGACTTCTTTTCTGTTATCATAGGGTTTTCCGAGACAGCCATATGGAAATGACTGTGGTATCTTCATGTTGATGGTACGAGATGTTAGTGGTCTTATTTATTTCTATATGCTTAAAAGACATCAATATGAAGTTATTGTTTTTTTTCCATAGTATGCCCTTTACTCCGTTCTGGATGCCCCTTATGATTTCACAGTGGTAAGTTGACTTGCATATTCAAAGTAAACTGTAAACATCTACTCTGGCCAACTGTGATAATTTCTTTTCAGGTGGACATGCCAGCTTTGCAAAAGTGGTGGTGTGTTATGCTAATGGAAAATTTTGAGCTTGGAAGGTGAGAGCACAAACATTTGACATCTGATTGACTGTGTTGGAAATATTAACACCCCATTTATGGCCATCTTTGTTTTTCTTTTTATTTGAGCCATGGCAAAATGTTTGCCCACTGGACAGACATTTCAAGGGCTGTGCTGCAAGATGAGGTGCCACCAGTGTTTCATTTGAAGAAGCGGAAAATGGATGACATCACTGAGGTCACACACACACACACACACACACACACACACACACACACACACACACACACACACACACACACCTTTTTAGACAGAGGAGCAGCCACAACCTGTTGCAAAGCCTCAGCAATCTTGTGTTGAAAAAGATGTCGAGATGCCAGTGGAAGTGGTATGCATGATTCCCTGTTTCATACTGAGGTTATTCTTAACAAAAGCTCTATTTGAAGTCTCATTTTGCTACTTTATATGCACTGTTATTTTCATGAGAATAATAGAGTTTATGGCAGTGTTTGTACAGCAGTTTTGCTATAGCAAGACTATCTTTTTTTCTCTGTCTTTTTCATAGGACGAAGTGGGGGCCAGGATGGTTCATCAGTGCAAAAAGGCAGCAGAGTGGGTTGAAACTAACAGACACTTGTTTTCAGCCAAGGTGGAGTTTCCCTGTGTCCTCACTATGGGAGAGGAAGAACTGGCAGAGGTTGTGAGGCAGTACAGAAGGCTTTGGGATGAAAACGAACATTGCCATCTCGATGACCAGGAGACAGAAGAAATCCTGGACCATTTCAAATTCAAATTCCACAAAATGGAAGACATGTGGATCTTTTGTGAAGAAGTCAATGACAAGAGAGGATACATGTCCTACACTGAATGTGAAATGGAGTAGGATAATAAGGACGGGCAATATATCAATATTGTACGATGTTCAATAAAAGGCTGAATAGAACAGAGTGAAAAGGTGTACTTTTATATGTTTTCCTAATTGTTTTTAGGCCTGCCATAATAATTTACTTTAATTATACCATGAAGATCACAGGTGAGTTAGTGCATTTCAAGAAAATGACTACAGTTTTATATTCCTCTCCTCCCTAAATGCTGACATTTTTATATTTAAGCATAGGTGAAAATCTGATTGGCCTCAATCTTCATAAGATCTTATGGTGTAAAGTATATCATTGAAGACCTGAGTGGAATCATTTAATTCAATAGAATTAAAAAAAATAAGGCATTTACCTTAAATAAATGTTATACATGAGCTGTTAAGGCTCTGAACAAATGTACATAGTGTTAGCATGTTGAATGATGTTTTCATGTAACTACTTCTCTTCAGAGGGACTCCAGGTTGACTGAACACGTCTTAGGTTAATGGTTAGGTTTTTCTTAGGTTAAAAGTTTATAACTAGATGCAGCAGGTTAAAGGTCATTTTGGAATTTCCACAAATAAAGGATAGACAACATCAAAAGTGTTCTACATTTAAGAAACTAATGGTTTTCACGTTACAATGTTGATTAATTAAATATAAATCCACGATGAAGTTGCCTCTTTCAAAATCGATAACGTGATTAATTAAATATAAATCCACGACGAAGCTGCCTCTTTCAAAATCGATAACGTGATTTTATTTTGAAGTTTCTTTTATTTTAAAGTTTCTTGTGCGCACTTCCTGTCCCAACCAGCCTCACACTGGAGGTAGGCTTGAGACGGGAGCCTGCGCCGGAAGCGGCTTCACGCTGGAGGTCTGCAGTTCGATCGTATTGCCTTTTCCTGGCTCAGTTTCCACTTCATCTGTAGCCTGCCCGGAGCCTGCGGTCAACCTGTGTCCCTCGGCTCCACATCCTGCAGACGCCACTACTGACACTCCCGGTCCAAGCTCCACTCCCTCCTGGTCGTTTGTTGTTAGGGGAGGCAAAAAGCTGTCTCTCCCCCTCTCTGACTCTCCTGGCATCATCGGCAGCGACAATAGCATCCCACTCACAAACTTTTTCTCTCCCCTCGCATCCCTTCCCCCTGAGCTGGTTTCTCCCCTGCTTGCTTGCAGTGCAGCTCGGGTCCGAAAGCGCTCCTCTCCCATCACCCCGCCCCTGAACTCGCTGTCTTCTCTGTCGGCTCCCCCGGGATGTAAACGGTCCTGTTTATCACCCTCACAGGCCAAGAAACAGTCTCCCCCGAACTCTGTTCACACGCAGTCCAGTCCTTCATCCTCACAGCCACCTCACCTGCTCATTAGTGCACAAGCTGCAGCTGTGGTCACTGGTGACGTCATCCCAGACAGCATCTCAACAGGTGATCCTACACAGACCTCCCTCACTAACATTCAGACACACTTCTCACCCAAACTTTCCATCTATAAAGGCAACTGTAAGGATGAGGATCCTGAAATACTCATTATAGGTGATTCCATTATTAGATCAGTTTCTCTCCCAAGTGCATTCACATACTGCCTTTCTGGCGGTAGAGCAGATATGATTGAGTTAGCCCCAGCACTTTTCGATCTCCATCCTTCTGCTCACACTGCAATATTCCACGTCTGTACTAATGACGTCTTAGACAGAAAATCAATTATACTCCATGACCTACTAGAGTCACTGGCAGTTACTTTTCAGAGTCTTGGAAAAATCTGTGTTTTCTCTGGCCCCATCCCTGCCCCCTCTAAGAGCCATGAGCATTTCAGCCGTCTAGTCCATATTCATGACTGGTTAAAAACCTTTTGCACCGCAACAGGACATGGTTTTATCAGCAACTTTGACTGCTTCTGGACCAAACTTGACCTCTATAAGACTGATGGCCTGCACCCCAACATTAAAGGCACCAACCTGCTTGCTCATAACTACATAAAGCACATTGCTTTCTGCTTGGACTTGGAAAACTGACATCCAACCCGGCATAACCCTCCCTCAGGAGTCACCCACACTCATAATAATAATGAGTATCTCTCATTGGGTTCTGACGGTCCTTGTACATCTAATTTGAAAATTGCTTGCCAACTCAACTCTGTTTCTACTAATGTTGACAGACCTAAGTGTTCTGCAAGCACCCTTAAATTTGCACTTCTCAATGTTAGATCAATTTCTAATAAAACTTTCATTATTCATGACTTTATAACCTCTCACATCTCGACTGCATTCTCCTTACTGAGATGTGGCATGATGAAACCGGTAACATAGAGTTGATTGAAGCATGTCCACCTAAATTTTCATTTTTACATTGTCCCAGGGTTGAAAAGAAGGGTGGTGGTGTTGCTGCCATTTTTTCAGACAACTTATCATGCAAAAACATCCTGTCTGGCAATTACTCTACTTTTGAGTACTTAGCCATAGTCATGAAATCTGCTTCTCCCTTTCTTGTGCTCACTGTTTACCACCCACCAAAGCTTAAAAAGGGTTTCATAGATGAATTCACCGAGCTGCTATCTAAGATTTCTGTCAAATATGATTCAGCCCTTACTTCCGGTGACTTCAACATTCATATTGATAATTCCACAGATTTTTTTGCCAACCAGTTCAATGACATGCTATCAACCTTTGACCTTATACAGCATATAGCTGTTCCTACTCACAATAAGGGTCACACACTTGATTTAGTCATTTCCAAAGGCCTAGATATAACCACAAACTCCATCCGTGATGTGGGGATATCTGATCATTTCTGCATTTTCTTCAACTTGTCTTGCACGACTAAACCTGTACCCAGACTTGAAACTGTTAAAAGGCGTCCCATTTGCACTGAAACACTCAACAAGTTTACTTCATGTTATACTAAAAGATCACAGTCTGATTTTAATTACAGTGTTGATCCCAACTCATCTTCAATGTCATTGTGTGACAACTTGATCAATAATTTTAACAAGTCTGTAACTCAAATTCTAGATGATATTGCCCCATTCAAGACCAAGAAAATCTCAGGTAAATCCAATGCGCCATGGATAAACAAGGACCAACTAAGTCATTAAAGAGAACCTGTCGCAAATCTGAGCATAAATGGTGAAAGTCGAAATTGCAAACTGATTGTTTTAATTACAAGGAATTGCTCAGGAAATACAACACAGAAGTAAAACATTCCAGACAATTCTATTTTTCTCAACTCATTGGTGAAAATCTTAACAACTCTAAATTGCTGTTCAGCACAGTCGATAAACTGGTAAATCCCCCAGGGGATAATGATCTCAAAATTAATTCTGATAATCATAAAGTCTCTGTCCTTATCCTACTTGATCTCAGTGCCGCTTTTGACACAGTTGACCATGCTATTTTGCTTAGTCTCCTCGAAAATTATCTTGGTTTTAAAGGCACTGTTCTACAGTGGCTTTCTTCCTACTTTAGAGGTAGATCTTTTTCTGTTTCAATTGGAGATTGTCTTTCAGACGAGGTCAGTGTTTTATATGGAGTGCCTCAGGGGTCTGTCCTTGGCCCTCTTCTTTTTAACTTATACATGCTCCCACTTGGTTTCATAATCCGTCAAAACAGTATATCATATCATTCATATGCTGATGACACCCAGCTATATATATCTGTCTCTGCTAATCATCTTAGTGCTGTAAATAATCTCATCCAGTGCATTAATGAGGTTAGGCACTGGATGACAAAAAATTTCTTACAACTCAATGATGATAAAACGGAAATCCTTCTTGTCGGTCCAAAAGCTTTAAGGCAGCAGATTAGTTGCCTACTGACTCCTCTTTCTGTTAAACCCAGTGAGCATGTCAAGAACCTAGGTGTTATTATAGACTTTGATCTTAATTTCTAGAAGCATATTTCCTCCATATCCAAAACTGCATTCTATCATCTTAGAAACATAACTAAAGTTAGATCATTTATATCCCTCTCAGACGCTGAAAAGTTGGTGCATGCTTTTATCTCAAGCAGGCTGGACTATTGTAATGCACTTTTAGCAGGAAT